ACGAAGAAGTCAACTGGAGTATTGTATTTACATGTTCGCCTTCTCCAAGACCGCTATAAAGTTCACGGTTGAACCTGTTCCTTGTGTCGTCTCCGGAGTCAATATCAAGTAGCGTGAGATTTGTTTTCCGAAACCTCACACGGCGCCTGGAATCTAAAGGCAGTTTGCAAGAGGTTGAGAGATAAGAAGCAAACTTGCTTTTCAAGTGTTTCACGTTCATCGCATCTTGGGTATCCGCAAGAGAGAACTCTAACCTCCATGGCCTGAGCTTTGAATCACATTAGCAGATCGCATTAGCATGACGTCTGGGCTATTGCGCGCAAGATGGAGTGAAGACATAGTAGGTTGGACAGCTAGAACGCCTCGATCCATGCGGAAAATATCTCTGCTAATTCTTATATGAACTGGAAAATAGAGTTAAAGAAACGAATGACGGGCCGTAGGTATCTCCAATGTCTGACCGAGTCTCTGGTCGTCCTATCTCTGCTTTCGTGTGATCAGTTTCTGAACTCTCAGGTCAATGCTGACCGTTCGGTTCTGTCGAGCTGATATATTGGTTTCGCCAGAGACACGGGGTCGAATCCCTGTTGTAAAATGAATGATTGTATCTGCATATCCTGCGACAGATGCTGGATTTCGACAACATGTCAAGCTTTAGTCGGGCCCACTGCGTCTTGCCCCGGTTCGTAAAGTGCTTGGCCGTCGATTTGGAGTCGAACGACGTTGATATCGGGTACAGACCTCCGAAAGTGTATGATTTGCCGAGGAGGGAATGTAGATCTGGGCCAGGTGGAAAAGTCTTTGAGCACTTACCAGATGAGATGTTGGTTGCATGGTCCAAGACAGGGGTCTCACACGTGGAGTCGTTCTCAGAGTTGTAATTGAGACCGTCACGCAATTGGTTCGCCGATTCGATGCATGTCTCTCACCTGCAACTACAATGCTTCAAGTGCAGCCTCACCGACACGCACTGGCGGTATTCGAAGCATCGACAAAATAGTCCGAGTAGAGGTTAGTCCAAGTAGAGGTGGCTTTGCCGCCTGCTTGGCATTATTGAGTAGTAATTTAGATAAGCGTTCGGAGCGACCGAACTGTGAGTTCGAAGTGAGAGCAGCGATAGCCGCAGCCCAACATATATGGCTTACCATAGGCCTGATTTCCTCCTCATTTCGATCAATTGAATTTGTCCGCAAACATCATGAACAGAGCCGTCCTCCTCACGCGTCCTAACCATAATCTCCACCTCCTTTAGAACTTGCCCTTGAGCAAGTTGGTAATCATCTCGCGGCCAGTAATGCGTGTGGTCTTCCACAGGGTAGGGAAGTCGAGAGTACTAGACAAGCCATCGGCAAAGCCAAAGAAAAGCATGGGTGGGATCCAGCCGCGGGCGTACTCGAGGGCAAAGCAGCCTTCGTCCATCTTGTACTGCTTGACGTCGCCGCGGCGTAGGTGGTGGACGGTGCCCTGGGGGTAGACCTCAGCCTCGTAGGCGCCGGGGACGTAGGCAAGCTGGGTGCCGTAGAGGATGTTGAAGTAGTCGTCGGCGGTGTGGCGACCACTGTGGCCCTCGGTTCCGATGGCGGTGCCAAAGACAATGAGGTACTCGGTTATGCCTAGAACAGGACGCGTAAGTATATCACGATTGACAGAAGGCTGCAAGGAATGCGACGTGGCTTACTGGCATGGATGATGTACATGGCGCCCATAGCACCGCCGGCGTTGTTAAAAACCCATTCCTCGTCGAGGTTGACGTGTTTGGGGTTAATGCCGTTGAGCTCGGTCACGATGTAGTTGACGACAGACCGGGTGTCGTTGCCGTGCGCGGCAATGGCACGCTTGGAGAGGTCATGGAGGTGCTGGTGGTCGAAGATGTAGAACTTCTCCAGATTCTTCTCGAGGAACATGTAGATGGGCGTCAGGAGACCGATCCACAGCGCCAGTGTAAACAACCGGCTGAGAGACACCATTTTGATAGATCAAGAGCCTGAATTACACAAGATGGGGATCCAAAGGAAAGAACAAAGAAAAGGAATGTGATGGCCCAATCGGCAGTATAATGTGAGGAGAAGGAGGAGGAGGAGGTGAGGCACTGGGGAAGTCTTGCGACGGAAGCACCGGCGATATTTAAGAAAGCTTGGTTGAGCTCCAGCGAGAAACCGTCGCATCGCCATTTGTTTTGGTTGAGGATTGGACCCTGCATTTTGATCCTTCAAGGATCTTTCTGCCTTGCGCCACCGCCTGCTTTCCACTGGCCTGACAGGGCGTAATGTACCTAAGCACACCGTAACTACCCGACCTTACTACGTAGGTAGTAGGTAGGTACTAGGTATTAGGTTCCACTAGCTGCAGCTGTCCGGGTAGCGGGGCCCCGGGCAGCACCTCTCTCGTTCATCCATCCATCCACCCATCCATACGGCGGGCGGGTTGCGGGACCGCATCTCATTGAAAATTTCGGGCATTCGGGTTTTCACGACACCATAGCCACGGGACAGACTTTCAGAGCTCAGCCTCACACACGGAGCTGACGAGGTTCTCAACCGGGGTCAACTCATAACTCGCTTACTCATTTTTCCGTCATCTCCACCTCGCCTCTTGCGACGACAGTTAGCAGGTGCGAATACGACATCCACCTAGATCTCAGTCACACACGTCATACACGCACACACACACGCCCACGTCCAACATGGCCACGGATGAGATCCCCCAGACCGCTGTGCCGGGAAAGATCCTGGGCCCGACGACGCGGTACGCCGCCGGCCCGGGCACGCACGTCTACAACGGCAACGTTGTGGCCTCGCTGCTGGGCGATGTGACGTTGACCCCGTCGGCTAAGGCTCAGACGGGCCTCACGAAGCGCCTCAACCGCATCACACAGCTGTCGGCCGACGAGTTGGCCACTATCTCGGTGGCGCGGCGCGGCGCCAGCAAGAAGCGCGAGGTGCTTCCGGACGTCGGCAACGTGGTACTGTGTCGTGTCGTGCGGCTGATGCCCAAGCAGGCCATCGTGACAATCCAACAGGTCGGTGATACGGTGCTGCAGACCGAGTGGCAGGGCGTCATCCGTTCACAGGACGTGAGGGCGACGGAGAAGGATAAGGTCAAGATCTACGAGAGCTTCAAGCCTGGCGACGTGGTGCGGGCCCAGGTGGTAAGTTTTTCTTCTCTCCCCCCCCTTCTCTCTCACTTGTCTATGATGACATGTGACGAGAGTATGTAGATGGCTGACTTGGAGTGACAGATCTCTCTGGGAGATCAGGCGAATTACTACCTCTCCACCGCGGCCAATGAGTTGGGCGTCATCATGGCCACTAGTGAGGCTGGCAACGACATGGTGCCGGTGAGCTGGAAGGAGTACAAGGACCCGGAGACGGGCGTCGGAGAGCCGCGCAAGGTGGCCAAGCCGAACTGATGTGGCCGGCTCTCAGCTATCCGCAACTCGGCGCAGAGCCCCTTGGGCACCGCGACGAGCAGGTCTACTGGGCCCTGTACCAAGTCGAGGGTTCTCGGGAACAAGAAGCAAGGCAATAGAGTCTTCAACTCTGCCTCACCAACGAGGCTGAGTTGTTTCCGCTGCCGAGCAGGGAGGAGCCCTTGTGGCGTTTCGAAACGGGAGTCCGGGCATGACGACCATGAAAGCGGGTTCCGCTGGAGGTTTCAGAACCTTGAGCCAAACCCAAGGGCCGGCTTACCGGGCGCGCAACAGCCACCGGACAGGCGCAGCCTTCTTATATTTCTTCTGAAGCTGCTACTGCATGAAATTTCGACGAAAATAGAGCAACGATCGACCACCGACGGTCGTCCGGATAGAGACGACTTCTGCAGGAGTACTCTTCGCGTGCGTTGCGGCAGCAGCATTGGGCGCCTGAGGTCAAAGGGCTGCTTGATGGGCAGTCCGATGTGGGGAGCTTATTCATGCAAGGGTGACGATCGAGAGGTATCAAAAACTGGGAATGGGTTTTGGACGCAAGGATGGGTGAGCGTAGGGAGGACAGGAAGACAAAATCAATAAATAAAAATAATAGGCCGCCGGAGGTTTGCAGTCGTCGAACAGGACAGCACATCACCACCCATCCATCAGCCCTGACTTGCCGTTCCCGTCATGACACGGACGACGTGGATACATATAGCCAGACATTCCGCAGTTGGCCTTGCCTTGAAATTAAGTAATGGTCCAATCGGTCACAGAACGGTCAAAAAAAATGCATTGGACGGTTGCGGCCGCGGCCTGCCAAAAACAAGAGACGAAAGAAATGAAGCATGATTAAGCAATATTGGGAAAGCTCACCGGCCATTCCCACCTCCTTCTCTCCCTGCCGTCTTGGTAAAAAGCTGTGCAACCCAAGAGGATGCTGGAACGCGGGAGTGGAGCGATTCTGTCCCATCTTCGTCGCCCAGATTGGGTTTTACGCGCCCAATCGTCTGACGCCGTTCATGGCATCCCCCGGGGCTATCCGCCGCTCCGCCCGTTTGGAACCCCCCCCGGTCTTCTCATAGATGTCCCCCAATTCCCACCACGAAAGCAAGGAGGCGCAGTGAACCCCGTTCGCGTCGTGGGCTTTTCCCTCGTCACGAAGGGGACTACCCAAAAGAGGCGGTGGTGTCACACATTAAAATCGGTGGCTAAAGTGGCATGTGGGCGGGATTTCAGGCAGATGAGTTATTTCGCTCTCGCTCTCTCCCTCCTTTCGAATCCGAACACGCTCTTGTTTCTCCTCCGCCGACATCTTACTTTCCCTTGCTACCAGAGACGTTCGGATGCACAACTGCACAGCAGCTGAGACGGTTCTTCTTTTTTGTGCTCCAAAGCTCAAAGCGCCGCAATAAAACACCACCGCATTTTTCTGATATAGGGACCTCCCGCTTGCCATGTACATGTAATCGTGCGCCTGTCACTGCCACACCTCGGAACCCCAAACGCCCTCCACGAAGCTCTGGCACCTCGACGTCACACCTCTCAAACACTAATTAACTCCCCGCTTTGGTTGCCTCACGACTCGACCATAACTTAAAATAAGCTTGAACCTCCTCCCCGTTCACCGGTTGCGTGTCCCCTCGGAGAGCCGTCTAGTCCCCTCCTTCCACATATACAACATAGTTGTAGCGACAACCCAGCCAAAACTACAAGCCATGAGCGCAACCATAACCATGACTGCCGCTGTGCCTACACCGCTGCCGACATTGTCCCTCTCGACGGACCGTTCCGAGCAGCACTCCTGCCCCAGCTGCGGCGTTGTCATCGAGCCCCCGCCCGCACTTCTCGAAGCGCAGTCCCGCATCGCCGATCTCGAGGCCCAGGTCCGCCTGCTGAACCAGAAGGCCGCCGCCGCCATCGACCGCTGGGCCGACTACGAAGACGAGCTCACACGACTGCGCATCGCCGCTTCCCAGACCTCCACATCCCCTCCCGCCGTCATCGCCGCGCCCGCTCCGACCCCGTCGCCCACACGCACGAGCTTCCTCTCCGGCGGCGCAAACAGGCTATCCCAACTCCTCAGCCCGCGCGGCATGAAGTCCACGCCGAACCTGCGCGCCCCGTCACCGCCGGCGGTCGGCACGGGCAACCCGGCGTCGACGGAGGACCTCCGCGAGGCACTGAGCAGGGAACAGAACCTCCGCCTAGCGGCCGAGAGCCGGCTCAGCACGACGAGCCAGGAGGTCGAGGAGCTGAGCGTGAGCCTGTTCGAGCAGGCCAACGAGATGGTCGCGAAGGAGCGGCGGGCGCGCGCGAGGCTCGAGGAGCGGGTCGAGACACTCGAGAAGCGGGACCAGGACAAGCTGCGGCGGCTGGAGCGGCTCGAGGGCGCCGTGGGGAGGATCGAGAGGGTGCGCTCGCTGCTGGGGGATATGAACGCCAAGGACGCGGCCGTGAGAGAGGCCGCGGAGCAGAAGAGGGCGTCGCAGCCTTGATGGGAAGGACCCGGGCGCCGGAGCTGACGGGTTGACGGTGCATCACGGTGTGATGGCCTGTGAGACTATTTCTACGACGAAACGACTAGCATATTGGGCGCAATGTTTGGCAAAGCCTTCTTTGATACCTACGGACGGACAAATGGAGGGGAGCGGGCAATCGGAGGGAAATTTGGCATAACAGGGCTGGAGGGACATTTCAATAAAACGGACAGTTGGGTGGAAGATTGCGTACTTAAATCACGATTTGAAAAATGGAAGACAAGCCACATAATCAGGTACCTGTAACACATTCTCTTTTTAACATCTATCGACGATCAGCCGATCAACAACAAGCAAACCCTTTCTTTCTTTGTCTCTTTCCTTTTCTCTTTCCCTCTTGGTGTCGGCGAATACTGCCCCAAGCCTGTCCGCAATGCTTTTCGGGTCATACTAAATGGAGCCTCCGTACGCCATGCCCTTGTCCCAGTTACAGTCGAGCAGCTCGAATGTTTTGTTTTAGTACCACTGTCTTCGTCGTCCACGTGCGCATCTTTCATCCGTCAAAGCCCCAGGCTAAGTTAGTCCTGGAAGCCCTCCCATTCGATTTCTTCAGGCTTCAGTTTCTTCTTTGTGTCAGCTGCCTTCACCTTGGGAGAACCCTTTGGGAAAGACTGGAGCGAACCTTTGGGTGATGTCTTGGGCGACCCCTTAGACTCCTCCGTCCTTGCAACCTTGGAGGCAGGCGCCTCATCTCCCGAGCTGGAGTTTCTTCTCTTCCTGCCATTTTCGTCGCTCTTGTCTAACTTCTTGTTGTCCTCCCATTTGCGCTTTCTGTCCTGCTTGCGGCTCTGGTTCTGTCGCTCCTGGTTGTTCTGTCGCCTCTGGGGCACCTGGGGCGCTCCGTTGGGGTACTTCTCGGACCAGGCGGTCAGCATCTGCGTCACCTTGGGACCCCAGACTTGCTCTCCCTTGAGTAGATCCTCGTATTCCAGACAGTTGTCAGTGCGGACCTCGAAGTCGCCCTGTCGCGAACGCTCCAGTTCCGCCATTAAGCCCGCCGAATTGACCTTGGCGCCGAGGTCGTGGCAGAAGCTACGCACGTAAAATCCAGAGGTGACTGTCATACGGATCCGGGCAGCGGGCGGTCCCTTGTCGGTCCAGGGGAACGGCTCGTCGGCGGACGGAGGCGGGGGAATGAGATTGGAGCCCTTGCCGGCTGGGAGCTGTCCCAGGGCACCGGACATAAGGGCCGGGTTCTTGGGCGGCTTCTGTTTCTTGGCGGGCTTATCACGGATAAGGCCGTCCTGGCGCTCCTCGAACTTCTTCTTAACAGTCTCATGCTCGGAGAGGGCCCTTTCTTCCTCCTTCTCCTCATCGGGAGTCAGTTTACGGCCGGATCCCTGCTGCTTCTCCACTCGCCAGACCTGCTCGGCGAGGTTCTTCTCGGCAGCCTCTGCCTCCTCCGTAGGCCATCTGTAGTTGTGCGTGCCAGGCTCGTACCACTCGACCATTTCAAGCTCCGTCACCTCGACCTCTCGTCCTTCGATTTCTCTAGGGATGGCCTTGCCCTCACGAGCGTACTCGTACAAGGGTTTGCCCTCCATCTTGAGGGCCGAGTACAGAGGCGGGATCTGCTGAAATTTGCCCCGGAAGTCGCCCAATGCCTTCTCGACCTTGTCTCTCGTGATCTCGTCGTATTGCCGTCTGCTCAGTATCCTGCCGACGCGGTCGTAGGTGTCTGTGCTTGCGCCGAAGAGAACGACCGTCTCGTAGGTCTTCTTGCAGTCGAGGAAGGAGCCGAGGGACTTGGTTCCCGATCCGACGCCGAGAATGAGCACGCCAGTTGCCAATGGGTCGAGAGTCCCTCCGTGGCCCATCTTCACGCGCGAATCCTTCTTAACGGCCCGACGACGCTTCCATTCGGCCTTGGGCTCACGCATCTTGGAGGCGAGGTCCTTTTCAATCAGCGGCTTAAACAGTGCCGAAGGGTTCATGTGCGTCTGGCAATCGCGGATCACCTGCGCGGAGCTCATGCCATACGGCTTGTTGATGGCTGGTAGGAAGTAGCACGGTTAGCGGTCGATAAGTCGCATCGCGCTTGGAGGCGTCGCGAGCGAAAAACATGAGGCAAGGGGAGGACGAAGGAAGGCAGGGAGTCGAAACTTACCGAAGACGCCCTCGAGTACGGTGTCTGTCGCCATCTTCCAGAGACTGAACGAAGCTCGCATTCACTCGATGGAAGGGTACGTAGTATGGGAGAATGAAAGGAAGTAGAGATCCAGCGGGGTGGGTGCAGCCTTCTCTCTCTTTACCTTCGCTTTTGCGCTTTGGTTTGCGCTTCTCTGCATGCGTTTTTTGGTGAATTTTTTTAGGAAGGGGACGTTCCGGCGTTCCTTATCGGCTTATCCATTGGCCAAGAAATGACCAAACCCCTGTGGGCTTGGCCCGAGAACCAGCAAGTTCCCTGCGCTAACAACGAGTCGCGCTATGTTTTCTGGCCAGCTCCAGTGGGGGAGAAGCGGTGGCCGAGTCCGCCCCGCATCAAGACGTCTGCAGAGGGAAAGTGGCGCCGTCGCTGGCGCATTGAGTTGCAGCACCCTCGCGGTTAGACTTTAATGGATTTCAGGTCGCGTTCGCGTGCTTCCCTTACCGCCCACGCACCGATCACCGATCGCCACCATCGTGGCTCGTCGCAACTGCACCCGTCGCTCCCGCAACAACAACACTTCAATTCAGTTGACCTTCCACCTCCCGACTCAAGCCTGCAGATATACAAAAACGGTACTGCTTAACCCGCTGCATGCACGTACATGCTCGTGGCACCACCTCACATCCTTCCGAGAAAAGGCAGGAGCCTAGGCCGTTGTCACTATGGTCGGACGACGACGCAAAACGTCGGACTCGACGACGGACACTCTCGACCATGATGACCGAGCCTTCGCCCCAGAACTGAGCGTACTCAAGAGACATGAACCCAAATTAGATGATCAGGAGGATACGGCGATGCTGCAGACTTTCGTTCTGGAAGACGCCATTGTTTGCGATAAAACAGGCCGCCTCGTTGAGCTATTCAATGTCAATACACAAGGCCCATTTATTGTCCGTGGTCGGGTGGTCATCGAAGAATGGCAGAAGTCGAGAGGTAAGTTTCAATGCATCGAGATACTCACAGCGATCTCAAACGCTTACTTTGTGCAGCCGTCAAGCCCTCTACGAGAACAGCCCGGATCGAAACCCGCGATTGCACCCGCTATGCAATCGGCGTCAACGACAACGGCTACGGCGCTTGGGCTGGGGGCCAGGCAGGCTGGTATGAAATCAGACCCCCGTCACCGGCCTACAGAAAAATCTTCGATCACACCATCGAGGGTGTCTCGATGTACTACGAAATCCTCGACATCATCGAGAAGCACATGGAGGCCCAGAAATCAAAGCAAGGGAAGAAGGAGTGGAAGAAAAAGGCGAACAAAATGGCCGCCCACGATCAACTTAGCATCGAAACGTTGCTTTTTAGGGTGGGTTTTTTACTGAAACTATCACACCGACGAAACCTGACGTGAGCTGCAGTATGCTGTCGCCATGGGCGACGGCGCTACTTACGACGAGGTGGTCGCGCGCTGTGACGACCATGCACACTTTCTCCTATCTCACTTTTATGAAGATGCCGACATGGACTGGTCTCCCACGGTATTCTTTAAGTGGATGACTAAGAGACATCCGGTAAGTATTTCCTTTGAGATTCGGGGAGCTATGCTTAGCTAGTCTAGGAAATCCACGCGAAAGTCCTGGAGCTGAGGAAGAAGAAGTTGGGAGCAATCAGTTCCAACCCCCCCTTAGCCGAGGGAGATGTCAGATCGAAATCGAGGGGAAAGACGAAGACGCAGTCGCGAAGTCCCCCCCCTGTTGTCGAGCCACCAGTGGATGCAATGGATGTGGACGACATTCCCGAGGTCCCACCCCAGACGGAGCTTGTTGAGATGGCTCACGACCGCTCCAACGTAGAAGCTCTTCTTGAAGGTATCGAGGAGATCAAGCCTGAACTCGGCCCATTGAATGCTGTAGCATTCTCAAAGATTTCGTCCAAGATTTACTATAGGTATAAGATCAAGGTATACCTTGGGGCGTCTGACATCATCAAATACTACGCAAAAGAGCTGATCAAACGCCTGGACGAGGACGAGTGGGCCGGTTCTGGGTTCTGGAACACCCTCAAGGAAGCTGCAAAAGGCCCTCGTATCACCCTTGAGCACGTCAAAGTGGAACAGATACCCGACAGTCTCGTCCGGCGAAAAGCAACTGCAATTACAGCGTTGAAACCTCGTGGCCAGAGCGATGCTGAGAGAGGCGCGGTCGTTGTAACTCCGCCACCAAGACGTGGTGGTCGCCTAGCAGGCAAGATGTCAGGTCTTCGTCTCGCTGGCACCGGTGGCAAGCGACGCTTCGACCCGGATGAGACCCCCGAGTCCGTCTCACGGAAGGCGGCGAAGATATATCATGGCCATGACTCTGACACGGATGAGGCCATGAAAGACGGCAGTAGCCCTGGCAATGAAAGTGACGAATCCTCTGTAGACTCCACGGACTCGCCCGCAGCTTTCAAGGCCGTTGTTCGAGCCGAGAACATTCCCACCACGATTCCAAAGGGACCCAATGGCACCTGGGTTTGTGATGAGGACGATTGCGACTTTGTTGAGCGCAATCCCGAATCCGAGGACGGCCGCGAGAGAATTCACCAACATATGCAGGATATCCATTATCAGGAGAGCGAGGATCAGGTTGAGCGTATCAGTCTCGCAGTGACTGAAGGTGGAAAGAACCGCCTCCCCATTGAGTATTCACCCCCGCCCCCGTCTTCTGGTTTTAGATATGCATGTCTATTAGGCGATCAGGGCGAAGTTTCCCCGTTTTGGGAGTCGGGTCCAAGTGGGTCAACTACCAGCGGAACTACACTGTCGTCTCAAGCCGTCTCCAACTCTGCTTCGGGGCTACGATGAGATTTCGCCCGGCACATGGGATTCCATCCCAAACAGTCTTCATAAGCGCTCTTGATGGAAGTTTTCTGACATATTTTGTGCAACTCCAGCCACCTCCTTGAGAAGATTCGCCAGATGGGCCAGAGGATCCAGATGAAGGAAGAAATCAAACTCGAAAACGTGTCGGTCCCTCGGCCAATCAAACGACGGCTGATTACTTGAGCACATCTGCTTTTCATCACTATTTCGATACGGCTAGCCTTCATCTACGATAGTAGGAATCAAGGGACGGGGATACCATAGGCATGAACGGCGTTTGGGTGGACATAGCGTTGCATCTTTAGAATGACATGGACAAATAGATGGTCGACCCTGGGTGTGGAGTGTCAGGTACGGCCTTGCCTACGATGCCGATTTGACATTCGGCCCATTGGCTGTACATACTATGGGCCCCGAAAATGAACACCATTCACAAGACCTTAGGTGTATAACCTGCTTTTAGCAGGATCTCGTGCTTGCTTTATCGTAGTGGCTCAACAATGCCCGGAGACAAATCCAGGGGGGCAGCCACTTCGCATTTGTGAGGCTATATATATATTTCTGGCTCACGTTGCTGCCCGTACAGTTTGTCTAGCCCTCGATGTTGACCACGGATACCTTAGGCGCACACGATGACAGTTGTCCTGGCTAAGTCTGCTTCTATTCCTCAGATACAGAACATCTAACCTACGGCTTTATGAACTTATAATGCAAACCTCATCTCTGTCTGAACCCGGCAGCAAGCCTTGCCCCGCACCCCAGTCTCTCTCGGGCTATATATGGACCGCCAATTGCCTCATATTCCGCCCCTGGGAGCGAACCATGCCGCCATGCACTGGCAGCTCGGCGTGCTTCGTGCTGTCCAGAACCCCGCTTGCTTTTTGATTCTCCAACGCCACGCTACAAGGCCAGATACCTTCAGCCCTAGAACCGTCTCTGATCCAGATACTTACTTGCTGTTGACCACACAGCCTTGTCGGCTGCTGAGACCTCCTTGTTGAGCGTTTGCACACCCTTGTGGATAGCCTCAAAGAATGCAAACGCCAATTGCACATCATCCTTGAAGTTGGTGGCAAAAGGGAAGAACTTCCCAGGGAAGTCCTCGATTCTAGCCTGGCGCTTCTCCACGCTCTCGCTGGCAGGAAGCTCGTCCATGAGCGTCTTTATCGCGATGCCAAGAGCGATGTCGGGGTTGTGAAGGAATGGCAATCTAAATCATGTGAGCGGCTGAGGTGGAGGTAGCACTTTTGGGGGGAGGGGGGGCTTACGCTTGGCTGATTTGTAGGTAATCGTCTCGATCTCTCTTCGACTGGGCATACAAGAACATGGATGCCACGATAGCCTCGACAAGATCACGGTCCGCCTCACGGACTGCGGTGGAAAGTGACCGGAACAGCAGAAGATTCTTGTTGAGCGGGCCGGTATATCCGTTGGATTCGTGGCGAAGCTTCAACAGCGTGGCGCAGCGACTAATGAGAAGGATACTCGCCTTATCATCGTCGCTGCCAGCCATCGGGGCGCCATTGAGTTCCTCGTGTCGGTGGCGCGAGTTGAGCACGTCGTGTCTGATAAGCTCGAACGCAGTCAAGATAGCCTCAAAAATGTTGAGGCCCTCGGGGACCTGCAACTCCTTAAGTGAGTCCTTCATTGCCCAGATTGCGCTAGCAACGGCATTGCCCCAGTTGGTGAGGGTATGCGTATCATCCACGTATCCACGAAGATGAAGGAATCTCCAAATGGTTACTGCCGTGATGTTCTGAAGAGAATCGATACCGCCGATACGTTTCTTGTCCTTGGGAAAAGTGCCCTTGACAAAGTCTGGGAAGAGTAACGCAAGAATCTCGAAAGCGATAGAACCAGGGGGGTCGGCAACGTCATCGGCGACAATTTTGAAGGAACTTTCCTTCACATCCCAGGTGGCGGCGCGCTGAGACGGAGAGGGCTGAAGGGACTTGTTGATCTGGTAAGAGAATTTGTCGTCAAACCAAACTTTCATAGTGATGGAGTTGTGCTGCAGACCGCGGTGAAGGCGAGGGATGAGCAATGCAATGCTTTGCTCTTTGAGAGGAACGATCTGATTGGTAACCAGCTTTCTGTACTGCTCCGATGCGACACCGTCTAGGGTTGGCGTTACGACGATTCGACTATGTGTTATATAATCGAGAACACGAGAGCCAATCAGACCAGTATTGAGATAGTGAAACAGTTCTCCGGGCAGCTGCAGTCCGAGATACTCGTGGTTGTCTCTTGTGATGTGGTCGAAATCGTTAACTTTGATCTCGCCATCCTCGGCAATGTAGATGAAGTGATTGACCGCCATCTTGGCTTGTCTGTACTTATCCAACCAGTTGGCGTCTTGCTTCTTGAGGATATCGCCATAGGAGCTGCAGGCTGACTGTACAGATTTTTCTGATGCTCTGAGCAGATTCACAGCGTCGTTTATCGTGAACGGCTGGCGCGGGTTGAGCGCTGTGTCCTGGAGTGGGGGGAAAGGTGGCAGAAATGAGGTCCCCGTCATAAGGAGGGCGTCGCCAAGCATGCCTTCGCTAATATTCAGCGACCGAAGGAGGTTCCTTTTGGAAAGCGACGTCACGGTCTTCGCCTCCCAATCTATTGTGCGGATCAGTGTGTCCTTGATCGGGTACAGAAGCAGCTCCTGCGAGCCCATGACGGCAGCACATTGGTCTGAGTCGATCATATCGAAGTAGGCAAGCTGATAAGTGGGCCATTAGAGTCGAATATGCCATGTCTCAGTAAGGGTTGGACATACCTGAGCTGATGCATTGTATGGAGGGACAAGGAAGTGAAGATCGTTATCCTTCAGAATCGACTTTAACAAAGGGTAGAGATTCTGGATGCGATAGGCGCCTGGTAAACCGTGGTCAGCATAATCCCTCCAGCATCACATCATAGCAGCATTGCGTACCACTGTTGGCACCAAAAGAATCGACAGCCTGCTGGGCCTCGCTGTTGAAGTACAAGTTCCAGGCAGCATCCGTCTTCTGGTTGGCGGCCCTTCCGCGCTGAACAGCAACTTCCTCCTGGCCAGTTACGGACTGGCCGTCGAAGATGAAGAAGGGAACGATCTTGTGGGCCTTCCATTGGTCGATATCAGCTCGAAGATGGTGTTCGATGCCAGTCATGCCACCAAGAGCGGGCAGAAGCGGTTCGTGGAAAGGCGGGGTGTCGAGGAAGAGTTGGAGGTAGTATGTCGCATCGACGGCAATCGCGCAATCCTCGAGCTCGGAGACATCGTGAGTCCTGGTTCAATGCTTTAGCTATGATATGTCGGAGGTGGGGGCGCGGTCCAGCTTACGTTGCCTGGCCATTGATCCAAGCGTCCTCCACAAGGCCTGTCATGCTCGGTCAGTATGGTTTCATGGTACGAGGTGCGAAATGCAAAGGCGTGATGTTGAAGCGCTGGAGGCGGGAGGAGCTGGAGGTCCTGAGCGATGTCGTCTTCTTGGCCAGGAATTCGGAGGTGGTGAGGTGTAAAGTTCCCGAACGGACGGACAGCTTGTATATGCAGCTTCCAAAGCAAAATTGCCAGTCACCAAGACAAGGGCTTGGTCCTTCTCAAATGATAAAAGTACACTTCGTAGGGCTCCCACTCATGTATGAACTCGAACGCCTTCTAGTGCGAGAAGAAACGGCTATGACGCAGGGCAATCTTGAAGGCATGTGACGGCCATGCTCGGGGCAGGGAGGAGCAGTTTGCACAGTAGACAGCCAGCGCATCGCGGGGTAGGAAGTTCGGGAGGGTGGACGAGAGAGAAGAGACTCACAAGGCATCTTGTCGGGCCTTGCGCAACGGCGAGGTAGCTTCGTCGGGCTTGAGTTGACAACAAGCCGTTTAAAGGTGGGAGGTGGTAGGTCGGGTGGAGCTTTGGTCGCGAGACCACTCAGGGGAGCAGTACGCCTAAGGGTCGGGCGCGGTGGGAGGAAGAAGTTCAAATGACTTCCAAAGGAATGACTGAGCTTGTCATGAAAGGAGGACGGCCAACTGCAAGGCCGACGACACTGACAAGCGTGTCTCAAAAGAAGAGGGGAGCTTTAAGAAAAGGACACTGATGGAGGGGAGGTAAATTGGAATCCAAAGTTTGGGGGTTCGGGAACGCAGGTGCGACGTACCGCACTGGTACAGGGGGAGCAAGTTGGCAACCCTTGGGTTTCGGGGCGCTAAGGAGCCCATAGGGTTAGCGCGTGAAGGAGGGAGGAGGGAGGTGGGTCTCTCATGTGGCGGTGCGTGTGGCTGGCAGCTCGTCCGTTTTAAGTACCTGGTTACGAACCCAAGTGGAGAGCTTGGAGGAAGGCATGCGCAGACTGAGGAGCTCTCCTTGTAGAAAATTATTCCTTCCGTTATCTGTTTTATTCACAACTGCACCACTCGGTACTCAATAACATGCCAATCGGTGTTGTTCATTGACTTTGGGGATCCTGCGGGACCAAAATCCACCTGTCATCTCTCCCATGCGTCCGTACCTTTACCGCCTACCTCCAACAACACGGAGTCTTCCCAGCCCAAACCGGAGCAGAGCCACAAGAGTGCGGGAGCGGCAGCGTTGCTCAACTGACCTTGCAGCGGTTCCCCTTCCCCCCGCCTCTCCCGATCCCCACTCCGTGCGTTCGCCTGTCCTTTGTGTCAGGGATATGCGATTCAGCCATGTCTTGCGCACTCTTCTTCTGTCAGCCCCTTGCATGGTATATTCTTCGGCAAACAGTCCGCAACGGCACTCTCAAGCTCTAAAGAGACCTCTGAAGTCGTACCCATGACGAAGATTGCCCCCTTGCACCCTTCCTTGGAGTGTGTCCTGCTTGAGGCGTCATGAAGAATTCCCGGGCTTCAGCCTCCACTCCCTGAACATGTCCCCTCCCAATCTCCGCTTCAAGACTTCTCCATTTCTCGGATACCCACAGCTGGATTCTTACGAGAGGCTTCGTCGTCTGTAAGTGCCATATACGATGTACTTAGCAACAAGCATACACACAAGGGACTTGGTTGCCACACACCCATGAGATAATGATGGCGTAAGCGCTTGTTTGATTCTCCGACAAAGGCCCTAGCGGCTCCAGGTGTTTTCTTTGACAAGAGACGGGCTCTGTCTTACCAACCTACGGGATCTCGCCTTGCCACAGGAGTCATAGGACATGCTTATCAGTTAGCACCTAACTCTAAGTGAACGACGAGTTCCCGTTCCCGGGACAGGACTGACAAAGTACCTTTTTTGGACATCATCTCACCAAAACACTGGCGAATCAAATTGCACTCAGACGTCTTCGATCTGGTGTCCCTTTGTGCAACCTCAATCTACTTCATACATAAGCTTCTGGATCTAGTTAGAATCCTGGCTCCCGTAGCGCTGAGAACCGAGTGTCAGTTCCGAAGCTCTCATAGAGCGATCCAAGCTTCGCTACATGAATATTCCACCCTCGGTTCACTAAATGAAGAAACATATTATCGCCGCTTCCTGCCATAGTACTTTCTACCAATCCTGATCAATCCCTTCCAAGGCACGATACATTCAAGGTCAATATCTTGAAGAAGCCATTTTCCGAACCCGAACGCTGCGTAATACTCATTATCTAAATCGACGCCCTTATCCAAAACAGTCCCGGTCCCGTCCGCACCTACCTCCCACTCTTATCGTTATCGCATCCCACTTCTCCCGACTTCGGTCGAACATCGCCCATCCAAACAATCGTCTGTGATAAGAAGTGAGCGTCCAGCCATTTTCGAATCACGTTTTATCCTTCTGAAAAGAAGAAAATCTATCGCAGAGAGTAGGAATCATGGCGCCCAAGGCCAACATCCCCGTCATCGACATCGCCTCTACAGGCATCGACAGAGCCGCCATCGCGCGCCAGCTCGTTGACGCCGCTGTCGAGCATGGCTTCATCTATATCCGCAGCTCCGGAAAGTATATAAAATTGGGCGATATCGATACGGCCTTTGATCTGGTACTGTTGCCCCTTTCCTCTTAACGACAACAGAACATTTGCTAAAACGCTGAGCAGTCCAAGAAACTGTTCAAGGCTCCTGTGGAGGAGAAAGCCGCCTGTTCCATCCAAAAGAACAACCGCGGCTGGTCGGGCATGCACTCTGAGACGTTAGATCCCAAGAACCAAAGGGTGGGGGCCATTGCCAGCGTTTTACTTCGATAAGACGAGAATGCTGACTCTGTGACAGGTCGGCGATTACAAGGAGTAAGACTCTCGATCCTGGTATTCTAGAGAGTGACTAACATGATACCAAGGGCCTTTAACTTTGGCGAGTTTAAGGACGGCAAGGCCCAGCAACCGTTACCTCCGACCATCCAGCCCGATGAGCCCTTCATCAACCTCTTTCGAGATCAGTGCCACGCTCTCTGCCTTGAGCTCCTAGAGCTCCTCGGCATCGGACTCGACGTATTGCCCCCCTCCCCTTACCCATCTCATGGCAGCTCACCCACACCCTCGCCCAGGTCGATCCCCCGAGCTTCTTCTCCTCAGCCCACCTCCGCTCTAAAGGCGACTCGGGCACGATCCTGCGCATGCTCTACTACCCGCCCACGTCCTCCACCACCGCCTCCGACGACGACGTCCGCGCTGGCGCCCACTCCGACTACGGCTCCCTGACCCTGCTCTTCCGCCTCCGCGGCCAAGCCGGCCTCGAGATCCTTACTCGCGACAACGTCTGGGTCCCCGTACCCGTGACCCCGCCCGGCACGGAATCCGACCCTTCCCCGCCCATCCTCGTCAACATCGGCGACCTGCTGAGCTACTGGACGAACGGGCTATTCCGGAGCACCGTCCACCGCGTCGTGTTCGGCGGCGAAGGCGTAGACGGCGAGACGGACACGGGCCCCCGGTACAGTATGGCCTTCTTCTGCCACCCTGTCGGGTCCGTGGCGCTGGACCCCGTGCCGAGCGAGAGGGTCAAGGGATTCGTCGCACCTGAGGGGACGCCGAATGCGAACCCGTATGCGGAGAGGAAAGTTCTCACCGCCGACGAGCACTTATTCATGAGGTTGAGGGAGAGCTACAAGGGGCTGTACAAGGAGGAGGCCACGGCGTCGTCATGAGTTTGGAGGATAAGGTGATAGCCAGTAATTTTCTATTTGTAGCTCACTACCGAGCGGCTTCGTATGGCGCAGGCTCGCGGTTATAAATATGAAAAACAATATATCACCAAAACTCCATCGCTATAGCCAGTCCATTCGGTAGAAACAAGGGGCACCGAAAAGTCTCAAGCCAAACCAACCCACCACTTCTGCTTGGGGCCAGAGTATTCGGTCGCGGGCTTCGATCCCTTTGGCTTCCTCTCCAGCGCTGTGATATCCTCCAAAATGCGCCAGTCGTACACCTCGACGTACCCGCGCCTGCCGCTTGCCGTGTACTGCGGGTTGTTCTCGAGGTGCTTCATCAGGGCGTGGGTCACTTCTCTGCGGTTGTGTTCGACGAAGCAGACCCTGCGTATGTGCCGGCGCCGTCTTTGACTGTCTGCGGCCGAAGTCGAAGAGACGGGTGGCTTGTCGACCCAGTCTTGTGGGTTCGTCGCCCATTGGTGGATGCCGTGGATGGGGAGGAGGTTCTCGGTTATCCATGGCTGTTGGGCGACGCAAGGGGAGAGGAGGACGGCGGTGTCTGTGAGAAAGCATTTTTCGCCTACGCATTGGCAGGTGTGCTTAGGTTGCGCTGGTGAGCGTGTTTGCGCGTTGTGAGCGGGTGGCTCCGCACAACTTGCTGTAGGCTGCTTGCTAGTCTCATCAGACACAGGAGCGACTTCCTCTGTTTGTTTATTGATCGTTTCGTCTTGACTCGCGGCCGGTTGCTGAGTTTGAGGGGCGTGAGGAGGGGGGCTCGTCTGGTTGACGCTCATGTCTGCAAGCGGATGACGTGGAGATGGAGCAGATTCTTGGGTGACGAGACCAGGCTCAGAATGAACTCTCGACCGCTTGCGCGGAGACGCGTCTCTGCCTTCTAGAATCCGCTTGTTGGTGCTGGGAATCTGGGTTACTTCGCTTGCAGGAGCGTCTTCGGTGGCATCTAACTTGTCGACTGAAGACGAAGAAGCCGGTATTGCGACAAAGGAAGGTTCTAAGGCTTCAAACAAGGTCGGAAGAGATCTGCGAGACTTTAGCGGGCTCTGCGCAAGAGATGGCGCTGGCGAAGCCGACGGCCGGGTGGACGAGGCGCGAGATGGTGTCATCCGGGAAGATGTTGTTGACTGACTAACGGCATCAACGGGGATGCCACGAGGATCCGCTCCTTCCAGCCTCGCAATCCAATCAAGCATCTCCTGGCTGTCATCCATGGCCGGCGCTTTCGTTGCGTCTTCCGCAACGGCCTGGAGTTCTGAAAAGGAAATGGTGTCGGTAAAGGACCGGTCAAAGTGCACCTTGGACACCTGCGGGAACCTCGGCTGCCAGAAACCTGTGTTTCCCTCCTGATCGAATGAGAAACAACGGATATCAAACACCAAGGGCTCGGTGAAAGCCACACTGGGCATCTTTTGTTGGGCTATGCCTGGCGCAATGTTGAGGATCAAAGCATCGTTGTCCTGGAAAGCAACTGGCTTTGGATTTGCATATCTCACCACCGTCTTGAGTAGGGCCTCACTAAGCTCCACCTGGTGAACTACTGTGAACCTGGGCTGAGCATGGCATCTCTGATGCTCCTCTTTATTTTCGAGACACCCGAGATAGAAGTGCGTCCACTTGAGGTTCGGGATATTGTAACTCTTTGCTTTAGTGGGGTCGTACCGCGCCGCAACCACAGCAAAGTCGCCCACGTCACCAAACCCGCTGATGTACTCTTTCTTGAGCTTGATGGGGCAACTGGAAAACGCGCGGCGGTTCCTGCTGAAGTCGAAGTAGGGGTCATCTGGTTTTAGCACTAGGCCCTCCTCTCGTCCTGTAATGGACTTAGCAAACGCCTGCCTTAGACGATGTGCCCCCAGAGAATGATCGAAGTTTATGACCTGGCGGTCTACCACTTCGGCATGGCCTTCTCGACAGGCAATCAGCTCCGCTAGTCGCTTGAAGCGCTCGCTTTGACAAACACCGAGAAGGGACTCTTGGTCGATAAGGAGGACATCGTAATAGATAATCATCAAGTGCTCATAATTGTGGCGTCTTGATATGTTAGCCTGGGAAATGGATACTGAGGGCAACGTGCTTACTGTGAGTCTGCTTCCGTGTTGATGAAGCTGCCCGACCTCGAAACGTACTTGCGTATCTTGTGAAAAGGCAGGATTTTCTTCTCCTGTGAAGGAGGTTAGCAAAGGTGTACGCAAGGGTTCAGAGATCATGCCTTGTCACTGTAGACTACCAGCTCCCCCTCCAGAATACAGCCGCGGACGAGCTTGCAGTTTGGCTTTCCAATGTTGAGCGAGTCACGGATAGCTCTACGCCAACGTTAGTGCGTCCACGCCAACTGAGCATACGATACTCACCCATGCAACGCGGCACGATCGTTGGTGCTGTCCTTGCCGCTCTTGGAAAATATCTGGATACACTTGAATCCCTTGGTTAGATCTATGTGGATCTGGCAATATTCCCCGTCTATTTTCTTCTCGCAGCTCATGCGGCCGTAGCCGAGCTTCATGCAATGTTTGATGCCACGGCCTTTAAGCCAATACGGCCTGCCGACTTTCACACCCAGGACGGGTGTCAGGTGCTTCATCAGCGCATCTCTCTTCTTGTCTTCCATGCCCCTGCGGAACAAGGGCTCCTTCCTTAGATTCTGGAGAAGAGACAATGCCGCAGAGAAGTCGTCTCGAACCTTTAAAATGTTTGGGAGCAAGGGATCGTAGCAGTGGTAGACGTGTCCCGGATCAAGCAGGACCGGTTGGAAGCTCTTGAGTATCAGGCGCGTGAGCCACTTGGCTTCCCTTGATTGCACGCGAAGGTATAGTTCGCCAAGTATTTCATCTCGACGACTGCTTGGACGGGGCTGTGAGGCTCGAACGGCGGGAGAGCTGAACCTACAGGAGGCGGCGAGGCTGTTTAGGGCTGAATCGATCTCCTCGACGGTTACGGCATCCTTTCCGACAAAAATGGGGTTTGGCTGCCGTGGTGTCAGAGTGGGCATATACTCACGTTATCCTAGCTTGAGCTGTGCTGTTCCGAGAACTAAGCTCAGGTAGTGGCAGAGATGAATGCGACACTTACCGTTTCTTTGAGGATTCTCGCAACACAGTCAGCTAGATCCTCGCCTCGGCCGGGCTCCTTGTATCGGCGCAACTCTTTAACGCGTGACGCCCCGAGACGCAGGGCCCGGCTGATGATGCTTGAAAGAGCATCGGCCTGGATGGCATACACGCGATCGGTGCGCTTGTCCGGGAGGAGGGTAGACAGCAGAGCAGAGGCATCGGTTCCAGGGTCGTCAATATGGCGGCGATGCTGGGTGAACCAGTCGGACACGCGTTGGTTGTGGTTCTTGTTTCCGGCTTCGCATTGCTTATGAGCCTGCTCTAGAAGATCGCAGACGAGGACAAAGGAAAGGGACATCTTGATAGTGTCGATAGCTTCAACATGGCCTGAAGGACGGACGGCGTGGTGTACGCAGAGTAAGCTTCACGGTTTGATAGAGTAGAGTCAAGCCGAGCGGCGATAGTATGATTCATTTGTGCCACCCGGATGCCCACTGCAGGCGGGTGTTTATGAAGACCAAGATGAGGTCGTGGTGATGCCCAAATTGAAGCGCAAGTGAGCTCTGGAGACTTGTTCGAGGGTATCGTGCAGAAGACCGGGCGAGGAAAGTCGCGTCACGCGTCTCAATTAGTGGTGGATTTAGCGCACTGCCACCAAGGTACCTACCTAGATATGTACCTATTCTGCCAAGTCGGTGCCCCCCTCTTACGGTCACACAGGTACACAATGATACTCTAACCCAGTCGGGGAAACACAGTATAAGTACCATGCCCAATACTCAACACAATATCCGTAGAAGGTTTCTAGATGGAAACACACTACCATAGAATTTCGCAGCTAAAGCAAGTGGTGGATGGCAGGCTGACTAAATGAAGAAAGAAAAAGTCAATTGCAGACACCTATTAGTGAGTGTGGTGTGATTATGCACCGATTTTCCACCGATTTTCCACCGCCAATTAACGCACCGCACACGCTCCATACCTACCGCCCCGCCTCTATTGTTACTTCTCTTTCCTTATCCTGCTCCTACTCCTGCTCTTTAGAGTCTGAGTCCAATAGAGCAGTCGCAACCTCCCCAAAGTGTCTGGGAGTCACGTGGGTCCCTTTAGACATTCGGGGAAACAGATGGCGATTATGATTGGCTGCTAATTTCAGGGAAATTCAAACTGGGTCGTGGGCTCCATGCATGCCCGGTTAATCCCAGCTCCTTTCCTGCGGTACCTTGCCCTTACTGGGGCACCCTCCTCGTCACATCCGTCGAATCGTTCGCAGCTCTTGTGTGCCTCGGAAGCCACCGCAAAGGGGGACAAGATCTGCTGAGAGCCTAGCAGACGGCTAACAGGTGCCTCGGGCCCTCTTCCAAGACGTCTTCGTCCGGCACCACCGCCTAGCTCACGCCTGTTGCCCCGGCGCCCGTCTGTTTCCTGACAGTTTCCTGACTCCTGCTACGGCTCGTTGGGGTGTCTTGCAGGTGCCGGCCGACTTTCGTGCTGCACGCTTGCTGCAAGCCCCTGAATAAAGTCCATCCTAGTGGATCGCCGGTCCTGCAAACGCAAGCCATGGTCCACCGGTTTCCGTGGGCAATGGTTTCGTCTTGTCTTGTTGATTCGACGAGGCGTCAGTCAAAACAACGGGGAACACATGCAAACCCAGCCCGCAGGCCCAGAACAATGAGGAGTCACCATGTCACCACACTACCTAAATACACTAGACGATCGAAAGAAGAAGGGGGGAGTGGGGGGTTCTTGCTTAGCTTTAGCTGGCTGTCATCGTCGTCAACAGGGACGATGGATGTAAATAAGATGGAAACAGGGAGGATACAAACAAAACTCAATGCGTTAGTTACCTTACCGCGCAAGCAAGCAAGCAAGCGAGCGAAAACCACCACCACCAGCGCAGCTCCGTCATCAACGGCTCAGGTCAGACCACATGCTCTGGTTCCCATCCCAACAACCGGGGCTGCAGCCAACAAAAGAGTCAACTGACCT